TCTCAGTGAAGAAAGAAGCAACTACTGTTGTTTGTAGAAGAATTGATCAATGCTGAAATTCAATCTGTGTTTCCATGATGTCAACAAGGTTGAAGCGGATGCTATGTGTAGCTGCGCAACGGCCATTTTGACACTCTCCACCGCCTGTACAATTGCCCATGACGGTCGGATATTTAGTACATCTACCCCTGGTGTGTCACACGAGAGCAGCCATGCACAACTATCAGGATGTAGGAACAGCTTCCGTTGGTCTGAATTGGGGTGCGATAGCACTGTAAGACGAAATATCCATATCGAATCCTCTTCAAGGGAGAATACTTAGTCTTACGGAAGGGTGTATACAGCAACATTCAAGTTCCCTCAGTCGATCTCAATCAACTGCCGTGCTCTCCAAACTCAGACAGGCATCAGATATTGCCTGTCTTCCGAGGTCCCTTGTAACATTGAGTAGTTAATGGCATTGAATTATCACATGAAAGAATTTAACAAAGTTATTCTACAGTAGTAGCTTAAGGTATCACGACCTGTAGTGCTGAGCAAGCCATATAAGGGGAGACGAGAAAACTTGACATGTCTATGCGAAATGATGAGAGTTGATATTGGATAAGAGGTAAATAAAGTCTAACCTGCCTAGAAGGGAAAAACCCTAATGTGCTATTTTTACCGAGACGCCGAGGTCTATCTGACCGAGTGGCAGAAGTTGAGGGCATCATCAATCAATCAATCTATGCGAAATGATGAAAAGACTCCAGTATATTATATATATGTAGATTTATAGACCCTAGGCTAGTTGTTCCTAGTACCTTACCATGAGTTCAGAGGCTTTGTTACTCTCTGAGGGCAGATCCAGCTAGACACAGATTCACTCACTTAAACATCCATGAGAGTTACCAGATACTACTGATGAATGAAATTTACTCAGATACACCCGTCCATGCTACAATCACCGCTAAACTCCTAACTCCTAATTCCCCAGTCAAGACTCCGTCTCTCATATGCTCATAAAAAATCACATCACAATACAGTCCCTCTCCCTCTGCCCACCGCCATTTACCCCTACCCCCGGCCCCGAAGGCCGTCTGCCCGCAGACTGCCCAAAGGGTCTCTGCCCCACTGGCATTGATGAATTCACACTCGCAGCAGTACTAGTCTGCCTCGATATCGTAGGGCTGCTGTTCGGGTGGCTCGGGTGTCCTACCGGCGGCTGATACGTCCTGTCGTGCGCCGACTGCTCGTAGGAAGGCGGCGCATCGTCTGCTGCTTCATCTGCTGGTCGTGACACGGGCGGTCGCGGTGGTTGAGCCGGGATGAGGGATCGAACTCTTTGGGCGGGTACCCTGGGCTGTGCGTTGGTTGTGTTTGTGGTGGGCGCGCTGACAGAGCTGTTGCGTCCTGGGACGAGACCGGTGGCTCCTCTGGTGACGCCTCCACCTCGTGGAGCTCCTCTTGCAGGTTGCCCACCTCTTCCTCCTCTACCTCCATGGTTGCCACGTGTTGTATTTCCTGGTTGAAAGGCCTGCTGCTCGATAAATTGCTCTGAAAGCATGCTCTCTCTTCGTCTTCGGGCTTCCTCTGCTCTATGTCTTTCCTCTTCCTCTTCTTGCAGTTGCAACGCAAGAGCCAAATCTCTGTCTTCCTGTTCAGCATTGGGACTCATCGGCGGCTCATCTTCGTGTCTCTCCTTGCCCCTTCTATTCTGTACCGTCGTCCATTCTCCGCCATCGTTGTTGGAGTAGTTGCCCGCACTTGTCGAGGGAGCAAGACCGCCAGATCCCACAACTCGGAAGTCTCCTGAAAGATATTCGGTGTTGCCACCATTGACATCTGATAGTGTCTCCCATACGATTTCATCATGAGACTTGAATCCTGCGTCCGTCACAAGCGTGACGAGCTGCATCGACTGCGGATGACAGTACAACGTACTAAAATGGTCATTTCGGAAAAGAATGGCAAATGTACCAGGCCGAATGGCTTTGCCAATAACTTCAATGCCCCAAGGCGTAAGTTGGGTTGCAGAATTATCCAAAAATTCCTTGATGATGACAATATCTTGGTAAAGTTGCTGCTCATCCTCTATGAGTCCACCTTCGGGGTCAGACAGCTTCTGTTCGAGCTCTTCTTCTCGGAAAAGAAGATTCTGTGCATCCTCATATGATGCTGCTTGTCGTTCCAGCGCTTCATATGCATGTTCATTCTTTGGTGGCAACCATCCATGAATCAATGGTATCGAGAATGTGGCATATAAACCCATCTCAGCCGTATTCTCAAAAGTCCCTGGGATCAAGTCCCCTCGCTCGGCAGGATGTAAATGTGTCAACGATGTACGCTTGTAAGCATTTATCATACTCTCTGTAGGGACGAAGCGCGGGTTGACGTTCATGCCGGTATGTAAACTTTGCAAGAAGGCATACAAATCTCCAACATCTGGCAATGCATCTTCGGAACTGGTTCGTCGCGGTGACATAAGTTCGTCAAAAACAGCGTCCAGAAGCAGATTCAAACTGACTTGTTCCCTCGATCTAAGAGTTTGTACAAGTGCAGTATCTTCGACATCGGCAGGTGTTGTCATGGTAAGCGCGTTGACCAGAGCCACAAGAGGACAAGGCCCGTTTGCATTCTGGATCAAGATTGGGGATATTCGTGGGTTCTTTGACGAGGTCGAGTCGTGCCATTGTATATTCTTAATCTGGTAGGTCTCCATCTTTCCGTCGATCGGATCTCTAGATGCTCTCCAACTTGACGGTTCAGTTTGTAGTGTTGGTTGCCTGGGTGGCAAGGGTGGCTTCTCCTCTTGAGGTTCCTTCATGGGGCTCGGTGATGGCTCTGAATCTATCAGATTCCAATCATCGGGTGATGCTGGCCGGGCTTCTCCTGTAGCCTTGGCCTTCCCCTTGTCAGCGCCGCCTACATCGTCCCAGATATTTGTGTCCCCAGTAAGTTCTGCGGAGAGTTTCATAGGTGGCGCAGGAGGTTTGTCATTTCTTCCCAAAGGATCCTCATCCCATGCAGGTGATTCGCCACCAGAGGGTAGTGACACCATACCAGGTGATCCAGCAGGAAGTGGTTCTGGCGTGGGTGTCCATGCGCCTCGAGGAGGGACGTCGTCCATGAGGTTTGGAATCGGTTGCGGAGCTGATGGTGCGTTCTGCACCTCTATCGCAGGTTGCCATGGGTTCGTATTAGGTTCCTCGATACCAAGTTTCGAAAATGATTCTGTCGGCGGTGTTTCTTGTCTTGAGGGAACTTTCTTTCGTAGAAAAGGGTTCGTTTCTGGTCTGTCTCCGCCTGGTTTCAATACTGCAGGCGTCTCTTGAGACTGCGGCTGATTATTTGGCTGTGTCCTCGCTTCTCCCCACGCCTGCTGCTCATCTTGGTTATCGAAAGCGATTCCGGGTCTGAGGGCTGCAGGAACAGCTTGAGGGTTTGGTCTATCCGTTGAAGATGCTTGTCCATCGCGGCGGGGTCCTACATCTTCCCACCCCGGCTCGCTCCCTCCTTCGGCCCAAGGATTATTCGACATCGCTTTGACTTTGATCGTATTTGAGGTAAGTTGGAACTTGGGAACTTCGAGTGTCAAAGTAACATGTCAAATAGAGGGCTTCGGTGTTCCGTTTGGTCCTTGTAGCTGATGCGCTGCTACCACAGGCGGGAGACTGCGGGGAAGTGATTCGAAGTGGTTCTCGAAGCGCTGTAAGCTGTATGCATGAGATTTAAAAACGTAGCAACCAGATATCTGTAGTAAGCGTCGTATAGTGAAATTTGTCGCTTGTATATGTTGATCTCCAGCTCTTGGAGCTCTTCTTGATTGCAATAGCAATAGCTCGTGTGGGGAGATGTGTCGTCACTGGGTCCCGCTCTGTACGTGGCGGTGCAACGTAAAACTGAGCAATTCGCTGAGTAGAGAAGCTACTATCACACAAGAAGCAAAGTGACTGGAGGCCTTGACTTCAATGCGAGTTTTTCTTGGTTGGAACGCGAATAATGAAGAAAGATAGGCATGCGCTGAGCTGAAAAAGCTGGGAGGGTGGTGGTGCCTGTAATGTAATGTACCTGAGGTACGTAGACCGCGGGCGTCAAGTCTGAGGTGCCCCGCCCACTTCCATTTGCTTACCACCGCCACGGGCCGTGAACGATGACGTGGGCCTGTCGATTCAAGTATCGAGCAAGCTGAAGAAGAATTATATGCCATTCCTGTTATTGCCTCACCGCTTAGAGAGCGGCACCTACAATTCATGATTCTAAGCCTGGTCCTCGCTTGTCCTCTTTCTTGACCAGATTGGTTGACAAAGTTGAAGTCGCTTAAGCTAGCATTGACGATCTGAGACATGCCAACTTACACCGCGACTAAATGAGTGAACATGATAATTTTGGATATTTACCTACTCATACTAGAATAAACATTTCGACAATCTTTCTGTCTTTTACTCATTTCTATGAGAATATAAGATCTTTATTGACCGGAGAATGTCCCAGTGGACGGCATAAGCACTCATTCCTTCGTGATCCACCAATGTCTTAGACTCAACGGTCATCCAACGCTCAGACCAAGGGTCCAATAGCCATCCTTGGTGACCCTAAACGACGAAAATATTTAGGTACGTCTAGCCTAATCTTAGGGGACTCTTTACTGAGTTTATTTTGGCATCCTCCCCTAGAGTCTTGGGTTTCCTTGCTCCCCGAGGCCATCCGGAGAATAAGGTATCTTGCGGTGGCTGGCAGTCAAAAGAAGCGATTGGTGTGCATTCTAAACGCAGTTCAACAAATCTACCTCGAATTGGATCGTCTTTAAACCTCCCCTAGAAAAACACATCCTTAAGCATTAAACGCTACTGAATGATACATAACTTGATTATGGGCGTCGTCCTCCCCTTGCTTGCTTGCTTGTCAGGTCCGAGTTTCTTCGTCGCCATGCAGTCCCAGAAATGCCACAACGCCAACTCCTATTCAAGAAAAATATATAATATCCACCTGCTCACGGCACCATCTGTGCATGTACGTCGTTAAACCTTCACTCCCATATTTTGCAGCCGCTCGCAAGACGGCATTGTGTATGTCTGTGCGAGTGCCATCTTGTCAGGGTCCTGGTAAAACCAGCCCTGAGCAGCATCCCTCAATCTCCGTTGATATATCAGCTCGTTCTCGCACTCGTTCTTGAGGTGTCTCAAGAGCTGATGTTCAGCTGTACGGTCAAGCTTGTTGAGCTTCTTTTCGGAATATTGGGCAACTTCTTCGGGGTTAACGTAGTAATTGACGTTCAGATTCGGTGTCGTGCGCTGTTCGGTATACGGGTGCAGAGGATTGTCGTAGACCATGCGAGGCCCTGATGCCGATGTCGTTGAAGACTCGCCGGAGAAGAAGGATGTGATGATAGGTAGGATGAAGAACAAGATGATGGGTAGTAGACCCAGGAACGTTTGGAAGGCGTTGCCTTCGTTCTGCCGACCACGATCGGCTTCTCGTGGTCGCGTTCTCGGCCTAGCTCCGCCAAACTGATGAACCCTGATTCCAGGACCTCCTCCAAAGTTGAAAACAAACTGAGGACCTGTGTCAAAGGCTACAACATTAGTACAAGTCTCATCTTGCTTGTCAATTCTGCTCACCTCCGAATGGACCACCACCGCCAAAGCCGCCTCCGCCAAAGAAACGGGCAAACATCTCCTCCGGAGTCAAGTCATCCTGGAACATCGGGCCACCTCTTCCCATTCCACCACCACCGGCTCGTTGGTTGAAGAAAGGGTTATTCGCCTGGGCGCTGGCGAATCGACTATCAGGATCTGTGCCAAACTTATCAAACTTTTCCCTCTTCTCTTTATCGCCTAGAATGCCAAAAGCTCTGCTGACCATCTTGAAGGCCTCGTCCGCATGAGGGTGTCCATTCTTGTCGGGATGGGTCAGAAGCGACAGCTTCCGATAAGCCTTCTTGATCTCAGCCTCGGTGCATGTGTCCTTGACGCTCGAAAGATTTAGGATGTCATAAAACGCAGTGGCCTCGCATCTTCGGATACGAATGACCGCTGCCTCTTGGTCTGGGGTGAAAGATCGTCCTTGGTTACCCTGCTTATGATCGCGAGATCGAGCCGAGCCACCCGTATCAGCTCCGGAAGCCGTTGCGCTGGGCATCGAAATTTTAGTTATTCTGAGGTCGCTAGGTGTCTGTAGGAGTTCTGAGGTACGATTCGTGAGTCGTACGTTGAGTGTTGAAGATTAAATAGGGTTTTAAGTTTGGCCGTCGAGAATGCGGGAAGAGGGAAAGTGGCTTCTTTGGGGGAGAACAATGGCACAGAAAAGGGCGTCGTCGAAGAGGCGAACGCCGTATTGGTCGGGTTTGTGCTATTTGTGACCGAATCGCATGAGGAATATGAAGCAATCGAAGTGTGGTTGATATGGTGATGCAAAGGGGATGCCAGAAATCTGGTGTTTTCCGATCGGGCAATCCCTAGTTGGTCTTTGGCGGACGCCCACTCTCCCCATTGAGTCTGTCCCAAAGTCTCGACTCCACGTGATCCCCCACCACTCAATGTCATTGCTACCAATCAGCTTACCCTGTATCACTTACACGACTATCAGTCAGATCCAAGAACTACGACATCTTGATGCAATCTGGAGGTCTATCAGGGTGCATTAGACATTGTTTTATGTCTTAAAAACATTTGGTAGTCCTATCAGCGTTAGAAATGCTTCCGTAGGCGGCCTTAGGGTAGTAAAGCACTTGGGTTTTGGGATCGTGTAAAGATATATCAGGTAACTAGAAAGCCCACCGTCTTATTCTGAACAACATATAGCCAGTCAAAAATGTTGCATGGCTACAGACGTCAAATTCGAGTGCCTTTAAGTCACAATGATTCGAATGTGTTTCTCATACATCACGACAATAGAGATCCCGACATCCCACAGTCTTCAGGGCAGCATATAAAACAAGAAACGTTGATTTATACTCAAGAAACTATTTACGTCGAGTAAGTATTTACAATAATAGACCACCCAAGTCAACTCGTTTTCTCCCTCGTTCCTGGTTCAAACCATGCCCACGACATCGCTTAAGCACCGATGAACTGCTTGATCTGAGGAAGAACCTTCTTGTACGCAGTACCAGTAGTTGGCTCCATGCTGAACATGTAGTCACCCCACCAAGGGCCAGCAGCCCAGTACAACCAACCAGTCCAGACATCAGAGTTGTCAAGCAAGTGCTGCAACTCGCCCTTAAGTGCAGCAATGCACTGGGCATTAGCTCCGCCAGCAGTCTCACCAAGAATACCCTTCTTCTTGTTGGCCTTGAGCCACTGGGTAGCAGCCTTGAGGCGCTCAGCACCAATGGTAGAGCTAACACAATTCTCGGAGGTACCAGAGGAGTCAGAATCGAGGTACTGGTGCATCTCGTAGATGATCTTGTTCTGAGGGTCCTTAAGATCCTTCATAGCAGCGCCGTTGCCGCTGGAAACCCAGCTCCAGGCTCCGGTATAGGCGTTGCCCTCAACGAAGATGTACTGGGAGGTTGCGCCGGCCTTGCGGATGGCGTCGACGGCGGCTTGGTTGAGAGCAGCGACGACAGAATTGTCCATGTCGTGGTACTCGTTGTTGGTGTCGAAGATGACGAGCTTGTTGTTGGCGAAGCGCTTGGCTACCTTTTGCCACCAGACGCTGAAGTCTGAGCTCTTGATGATGTTGCCGTTGAAGCGGCCATAGTTGTGAGGGTCAATGACGGCATAGTGACCCCTGCATGTGTCAGTGAAGTTATGTCAAAATGGGAAACGTAGTTACTAACTTGCTGGTGATGTGGTTGACAGTGTCCTGGAGACCCTTGAAGTAAGCCTCATCAATGGCACCGGTGATGCCACTGGGAGTCACTCGCTCCATGCGGAAACCGACACGGAAGGTGTTCATACCAGTGCTAGCGAGGGTCTACCATAGTCAGCACCAAGGACAAGTTATAAGCCAAGATACTTACATCAATGGAGCTCGTGGTAGGCCAGATGTAGTCCTTGTTGAGCGTACCAGGGAGGTTACCCTCACCAAACTCACCACCAGACTCATTGGAACCAGTGAAGAGGAACTTGCCCTTGGCCCTCGTAGTATGAGGAGCAGCCAGAGCAAGGGAAGCGCCAGCACTTGCGAGAAGGAAATCCGTGAACCGCATGTTTGCTAGAAGGAGTGGATATTCGTTTCTTGTTTCAAATGATTGTAGGAGGATCGATCAACGAGCCATGCAGAGCAGAGCCAAGAAATACAGGAAACATGGCGAGTATATATACACATTCAGCTTCGGCCCAACTTGCGGTACTACGCATAGCTCCCGTCGTAGCAAGTTCATTAAGTCGGGATGTGACAAGGGCCAGCCCAGACTGACTATTGATCCTCCGTGAGCCCATATAGGAATAGACTCGGTCGATTTGTACGTTTCAATAGTTTCTCCAGATGAAGTGTAGAACATGACCCAGTTTGGTGGTAACTGATTTGCCGATGTTCCCTGTTTGTTTGGCTGAAACAGGAGCTAGGTCCCCCTGATATTTCACTAACACGCCGCGTTGCCGGTACTGAACATAGTGAAGCAAGAAAAGTTGAGATGATTTTCGTGGAGTAGAGTTGTATAGTATTTCTTGGCTGACATTTCAAGACTAATGACAACGGCTTTCATAGTCTATCAAAGCCACTTGACTCGTTTCTGAAAAGACTTCTTTTTCCTTGTGGTCCTCCTAATAAGGAGTAGAACGCCTCAATGACGCAACTTGTCGTACACTTATTGAAATGATCATCTCTTGTTGAAACAAGCATTTCTATCTCGTTGGTGGGATTCTTTCTCCGTTTACAACGCCCATATTAAACCTCAGGTGAGAGAAGCACAGAGGTGCCGGTAGCCGTTCCGTGCTGGGGTAGTCACGTGCTGCGAGTCTCGGACTAACCGATCGGAAAAAACAACACCCGGCTAGATCCGTCGCATTGAAGCTTGGTGATGCCGGTCTGAAATTTCGAGGGAACGACATGTGCCAGCGATAATGCACGCGACACGGGTTCTTCTTAAGCGATCAGTGTGGAAGGGTATGTCAATTTCTACACTGTGATGTTGTTGGGTGCTAATTCTGCTGATAGGGCCGCACTTGGTACCGTAAGGCGACGACCGACTCGATTACCTTGACCGTTCTAACATGCGATAGCCTACCCATTGTATGGCCCAAGTCTTCCAGCGATAAGGTGCCTCCTGTGCGAACACAGGCTCGATCAGCCACGATTCTGCCCAACTTTGTCGGTCTCAAGTTCGAGGTGCACAATGGAAAGGATTACCATGAGGTGACCATTACAGAAGATATGGTTGGACACAAGCTTGGCGAATTCTCACCGTAAGTCTCGGTCTGAGCCGAAAGATGGATGTATTCTGACTGATGATAGAACACGAAAGCCAAATATCTGGGACAAGAGGTAGAATATCAAATAGGGACTGGAATCTGGGTATACCCATGTACAAAACACTACATGTAACATCACTAGAGCAATGATATCAACGAAGAGATCCATTCGCATATTCAGGCGATCTATTGTAACCAGCTGTGACTTTCCTGGTTTTCATATTTGATATCATGTAGGGACCCAAATCCTTCCGTGAACGCCGAACCGTAACGCCTTGCAGTCATATAACCAAATACATACTCAGCGGTAGAACTCACTACGCTTGACGTTGACACCATACTCTCCAACAGCCATACCAAGATCCTCCATGGTTAGAACAGTCCTGTTCTGGCTACCGCCTTGTCCACCACCTCCGTAGCCCGGTCGCTGAATACCCAGCGGTGCGCCCTTAGCTTGATCCTTGCTTCCGGGCTGGCCAGTTGGTTGACCAGGAATAGGGAATCCGGCAGCTGCACCAAGAGACCCCATGGGATTGTTGGTATTGGATGATGCGCGGATTCTGCTGTACTGGTATGCATCTGCGGCGATGTCCGCGATGAACTTCTGGGTTGCTAGGGCGAGGAGTCGCGCGAGGCGTGGATCGGTCTGGGGAGGTGGTGGAAGACCGGCTTTGGTCATGTAGTAGTGTGTGACTGCGTCGGGAATCTAGAGAGTGTTAGATGAGTCGAATCAGGAGTCTGTAGTGCGTACAATCGGCGCATAGTCATCCATCTTGTTCAGGAACTCCCGTAGCGAGACATCCTTGCGAGTTGGTAATCGAGGATCGGGAATCGCTGGAGCGGGCGCTTCATCAGCTGGTACCTCTGGCGCAGGAGGGGTCTGCTCTGGTTTTTCGGGCGCATCACTAGCCATATTGAAAGATTTGATGATGCGATGTTAATTAAGATGTTGAAGATGAAGTCAAAGCGATTGATGCTCGACGCGTTAAGAGGGAGAGTCACGTGATTCAATGTCATGGTCTAATCCATTGTTTGGCTTGCATGAGCCGCACAATGCCAAGAAGCTTAATGGGACTAAGCAAAGCCAACCAGGCACAATCAAATAAGCATAAACCAGCACTCGAGGTTTCTCATGTTGTATTTCCCTGCTTAATTATTCATATGCCTCTTCGTTTCCTCATTGTAGAGTGCCCTGAGCTCATTACAAATGACAGAAATAGCAGCATTCAACGCAAATAGACTACACTCTATTTTGACTTGGTACAGCACTGAAATCAACAATCCATTTTCCCCAAAATCTCCAAGCCAAGCGGCGACGCCATTTGTAATTACCGCCTTTGTTGACCTCCCAAACCAACGCCGTGCATGCATCTCCAGAAGCCGGAGTTGTCGTGACCAAAACTCTGGTCTTGTCTTGTCTTGCCTATTGGCTACTTCATCGTTACAGTGTCAAAACGTATAAGACGTGTTTTGAGAGCCTGGTGCTCTCTTTCGTACAGGTGTCTTGTGTCTTGTTGATCGTTTAGACGGGGAGCTTGAACTTCTTGCCCTTCATGACCTTGGTGTAGTAGATGTAGAAGAAGTCGCTGTACAGAACCGTCTGGACGATACCAGCAACGATAGCGATGGTGTCGACCTTGTGGTTAGTCTCGGCAAAGTATCGGTAGATCCAGTTGGGGATGTAAAGAGCGCGGTAGCTGCCGAGAGCGAAGAGATAGTGGGTGGTGATGGTCTCGGCCTCGCCGGTGCGCTGAAGCATGAAGAGTTGAGGGAGAATAGCCA